GGAGGAGGAGGAGGAGGAGGAGGAGGAGGAGGAGGCGGAGCGCGGGGTGACATAACAAGCTCTCAACGCCAAGGCTCCCAGTACGAACGGTGGTGCCAGTAACTTCGGTTCATGTGTTTGAGGCGCTCTTCCGTCCCAGAAGGGACCCATACGGCCCAAGAGGCCCCAAAGATCGCCCCAAGACAGCCCCAGAGGCGCCCCAAGTTGACCCAAAACGGTCCAAGAGAGCCCCCAGACGGGCCCAAGGCGGCCCAGAGGCTCCAAATATCGTCCCAAGACGGCCCCGGAGGCGCCCCAAACGGGCCCGAAACGGTCCAAGAAGGCCCCCAGACGGGCCCGAGACGGCCTAAGAGGCCCCAACGATCATCCCAAGACGGCCCCAGAGGCGCCCCAAAGGGACCCCAGACTGTCCCAGATGACCCCCAGTCGGCCCCAATACGGCCATGAGGGCCCCGAGGGCCCTGAGAGAGCCCAAGAGGGCCCCAATCGGCTCCCCAGCGCGCCCGACGAGGAGATGGGGAAGGAGGAGGAGGAGGAGGAGGAGGAGGAGGAGGAGGAGGAGGAGGAGGAGGAGGAGGAGGAGGAGGAGGAGGAGGAGGAGGAGGAGGGAGGAGGGGGGAGGAGGAGGAGGAGGAGGAGGGAGGAGGAGGAGGAGGAGGAGGAGGAGGAGGAGGAGGAGGAGGGGGAAGAGGAGGAGGAGGAGGAGGAGGCGGAGGGGAGGAGGAGGCGGAGGCGGAGGCGAAGGGGAGGCGGAGGAGGAGGAGGAGGAGCAGGAGGAGGTGGAGGAGGAGGAGTGAATGAGGAGGCGGAAGAAGGGAGGAAGGAGGAGGAAGTAGAGGAGGAGGAGGAGGAGGACGAGGAGGAGGGAGGAGGAGGAGGGAGGGAGGAGGAGGAGGAGGAGGAGGAGGAGGAGGAGGGAGGAGGAGGAGGAGGAGACGGAGGAGGCGGATCAGGAGGAGGAGGAGGAAGATGAGGAGGAGGAGGAGGAGGAGGCGATGAGGAGGAGGAGGAGGAGGAGGCGGAGAGGAGGCGGAGGAGGCGGAGGAGGCGGAGGAGGCGGCGGAGGAGGCGGAGGAGGAGGAGGAGGAGGAGGCGGAGGAGGCGGAGGCGGAGGCGGAGGCGGAGGAGGAGGAGGAGGAGGAGGAGGAGGAGGAGGAGGAGGAGGAGGCGGAGCGCGGGGTGACATAACAAGCTCTCAACGCCAAGGCTCCCAGTACGAACGGTGGTGTGAGTAATTTCGGTCAAGTTCCGGCAGCGCTCTTTCCGTTTCCGTGCGGGCCCAGGTCTAATCGCCCAATGTTCGGCCATGTTAGGCCTTGGACGGCCAAAGTCAGCCCGAAGAGCGTTTGATAGCTCCCCAGGACGGCACAAGACAGCCCCAAGAGCGCCCAAGGTACCTCCAAGACGGTCTCAGGGAGCCCCTGGAGGACCCCAGTGACGGCCCAGAGCGCTCAAAGAGGTCCCAAGAAGGCTTCAGGAAAGCCAAGTAAGCTTTAAAAATACGCTCCACGAGGCCTCCAAAGGACGTCAAGGAGGCAAACATCGCTACATTTGTTTAAGAAAAATAAGTAATACAAAAAAAAAGCAAAACACACGTTTATGCTTAGCATACTTGCTTCGTTGGTCTTCGCGGCGTCCACGACGCCCAAGAGGCCACCAAGATCGCCCCAAGACGGCACAAGAGGCCCCAAAGACGGCCCCGAAACGGCCCAAGTGGTTTCCAAGACGGCCCAAGACGGCCCCAAGACGGCCCAAGAGAGACCGTTGGGGGCCCTCAAAAGTTCCGAAGAGAGTCCCAAGAGGACCCGTTGCCATTATGTTCGAGCCAAGCCCAATCGCCTTGGCCACTTTGTGGCAGCCGAGGCCTTGAGTCGGCGGCAGCTGATCGCCCGAAGAAGGCACTATATTGGACGCGATGCTCTTGCTTCTGATTGTCGGGCCCATGACCGTCGTGGCCCGACAGAGTTCCGCGCTGGCGCCACCACCGACAGTTGCGCCGACCTCTGAACGCGGAGCTCGACAATTTCGGAGTTCAATGCCCCGACTGCGCCCCCACACCACAGCCGACAGATGGCGCTGACGGCGAACGCGACCGTCCTCCGCGCGGACGTCCGCCTGAAGACGGCATCATCAACTATTCCAGTCATTTGCCCAATGAGTGGGACTGTTCTTGATCCAGGAGGTTGGGAAGGATGGCCGACCACGATGGTTCATAAGCTCCATTTCGAAAGATTGATTGTTCCGGCCCATTAAGGCGCGAATGTGTACACGTGCCTGGTGGATAATCACGGGATCGATGGATTCATGATTCTCTGTTGCACCTCAGACTCCTCTGTATCGAATGGCCCTCGGCCCATCCCGCCACCGATGTTCGTTGCGATCTCGTGGAGGGCCTCTAGGGGGTCTCTTGGAGGCAATTTTGAGGTCTCTTGGGGGCCGTTTTGGGGCCTCTTGGGGTCGCTTTTGGACATGTTGCAGGCCTTCTGGGGTTTCTTTCGGGATTATTACGGGCCTCTTGGGCGCCTCTTGGGGCCGCGTGGGGGCCTCTTGGGGAGGAAGGCTCGGATTTTCGGTTCGTGTTCCCCTTCTTGGGTCCGTCTTTGGGCCCTCTTGGGCCGTCCCGGGCGCCTCTTGGGCCGTTTTGGGGAGCCCGCAGGCTGTCTTGGGGCCTTCTTGAAGGCCTTTTGGGCCGTCTCGGGGTGGTTTTGGGGGGCTCTAGGGCCGTCTGTGAGCGTCGGAAATCAGAAATGGCGAGGACGGCAACATCTTTCAAAACCCGATGGAACATCAAGGATTTTCGCCTCTTGGGAACCTCTTCCGAGTCCTCTTGTAGGCGTCGTGGAAGCCTCTTGGGCCATCTTGAGGCCATCTTGGAAGTCTTGGAGCGATCTTTGGGCGTCTCGGGGCGTTCTGGGCCGTCTTGGGTGCCTCTTGTGGCCCTCTTGCCCCATCATAGGGCAATGACCTGAGGGCACGCCCACCCCGTGCCCAGAGGCACGTTGGCGGATCTATTGAACCATGATCATCCGATGATCATGGTTCTGACATATCGCTTTGCATTTTTGAGCTCCAATTGGGAAGCCGCTTGGGTGTATTTCGGTTTGTTTTTGGGCTGGAATCGGGGGGGGCAGTGACTCGGGTTAGCAGTCAGTAGATTGTGAGAGGTGGCATATATGCACATATTGTTCAGGATCAGCGATGGCCCCATCCCCAAAGGAGAAAAAGGAAATTGGACAAGGAATCACGATTGAGCATCTCCTGCCCAGAAGGCGGGTGGGATTTTGAGCTAGGAGACCCCGTGCGAGAAGTTGTCTGGGTCGGTTTCGGCGAAGCCATTTTGGTAATTTCTGGGCCCCGAGATCCCGCCTGTGAGGTGGTCAGGCTGAGCTCGCCGGAAACATCCTTGCAATTGTGGGCTTCGGGATGCCGCGCGAGAGATTTCTCTCGCTTCGCGGGGTGCACGTCCAGAGCACGTACAGCCCAGTCGTTATGGAGCCTCGTGGCAGCCTCTTGGGAGCCTCTTGGAAGCCTCTTGGGGGCTTCTTGGGGCCTCTTTGGGGCCTCTTCGGGGCCTCTTGGGGTCTCTTGGGAACGCCTTGGGCCGTTTTGAGGCGCTCTCACCTCGTCCGGCCTCCTCGGAGGCAATTTTGGAGGCCTCTCGCTGCCGCCTTGCTGCTCTCTGGGGGTTCTCATGGGACGTCTTGGACCGTCTCGGGGGCATTTTTTGGCCGTCTCGGAGCCCTTTTAGGCCGTCTTGGGGCCCCCTTTGGGGCCTCTTGGGCTGCCTTGGGGCGTTCTTGGAGGCTGCTTGGGCCAACATGACCTTCTGACAGCCGGGAAAAGGAGAGAACCTTACAATCAATCAAAAACCAAAGGAACAATGATTTTGGCCTCTGGAGGCGTTCTTGGGGATCTTCTTGGGGCCTGTTGGGCCGTCTTGGGGACCTCATGGGCCCTCTTGTGGCCATCTTGGGGCCGATTTAAGCCGTCTTGGGGCCGTCTTGTCCCGTCTTGAGGGCGGGGGCTTCTGGGCGGCCCCCTGGGGGGCTTTGGGGAGCCTCTTGGAAGCCTCTTAGGGGCCTCTTGGGGCGTCTTTGGGGCCGCTTTGGGGCCTCCTGGGGCTTCTTTAGGACGTTTTGCACCGTTTTGGGGCGCTCCTGCGCCGTCTGGCCCCTTCGGAAGCAATTTTGGAGGCCTCTCGCGAGAGATTCCTCTCGCTTCGCGGGGTGCACGTCCGGAGCACGTACAGTCACGTCGTCGCGGGGCCTCTTGGGGGCCTCCTGGAGGCCTCCTGGGAGCTTCCTTGGGCCTCTTGGGGACTTCTTTGGGGCCTCTACCCCCTCCCGTCTTTTCATACTCCCTCCCCACATTTCGTTCCAGCGCCGGCTCTAATCATGGGCGCCGCTGCGACCAACTCTAGAGGGGGAAAAGGGTGCGGTGCAAAAGGGTATGGTTCAATGGGGCGGTATGGTGATTTTATGGTTGACGTGGTTCGCTTTGGAGCTGATGCATCATATTGAGATGTGCATGCGTTCGTGGTTGCAGTTGCTCTCGCACTGCAGTTCTGGCCCATCCAAGCGATGGTGGCCAAGTGGCCATTGATGCGATGCCTCTTTGTTAGCTCGGCTGTTTGGTGTTGTGTTTGTGCGCGCCCGGTGTGCAGTGCTGCCGTGTTACTGCCGACAACATGGTTCCGTTAGAAAAAACAACGTCTTCTCAGCTCTCTCGTCCTTCTCTCCCCGGCCTTGATCGTTCTATACAGGTCAGTCCTCATATGTGCTTCGCCGCCCTCAATCCCCACCCAACGTATGAGTTGATCCGCTGTCGTTTCGCTTTTCTTGCGGGCATGAGGTCGTCGCGCGCGGGGCGCTGTGCAGTTGGCAGCGATACCCGTTCTGAATTATGGTTGCAGTCGTCGGCGACGTCTTTTTGTCAATGGCTGCTGCGGTAGCATTGCACGGTGGCTGTCGTTTCAGCGATTGCGCATGGGTGATAACAGGCTTTGTCGTTACCGCGATTGCTACGTCAGTGGCCTGCGACCCCCAGCGCGCAGCACTGGGCCCTGTCGAATTTTCTCTCGCTCGTGACCCCCCCTTTCCACCACGCCCGCGCGCATTGCCAATGCAGCGTTTGGTGGCCTAATTGGGAACTCCTTCGAAGGTGTCAGTGGTAGAACTCGCGCGCGGCTCACGGCAGCGCTTCGCGGCCACATATGGAGCTCCACCGAAAGCAACAGCGGCGGATCTCGCCAGCGCTCCCCTCGCCCAGCGCATCGCTTCGAAGCCCGAAGCGAAGCGCCACCTGAGGTCCCAGCGGCGAAAACCGCATGCGCTTCTCCCATTCAGTGCAGCGCGCGGTGCACGGTGAGCTCCACCGAATGCCCCGGTGAGGGAATTCGAATGCGTTTCCGCGCCCGCCACGGTGGTTCATGGGCCCATGGGGGGCCCCATCGAAGGCCCCAGTGTTAGAAATCGTTGCGGTTTCTCTATCCCGCGCAGCGCTTCGTAGTCCCATGGGGTTTCCACCGCGGGCCCCAGTGGCTGCGCTCGCATTCGTGTATCCAACCGCGCGCAACGCCTCGCGGGCCCATGGGGATCCCGAGCTTTGACGATGCCTCTTCGGCGGAGTTGCAGAGGTCACGCGGTCGGGTCTCTCGCCAGGAAACTTTTCGGAATTTCCGGAATTTCGTTTTTTTCCGAATTTCGGAATTTTCAGAATTTCGTTTTGCTTGTGAAAAAACCAGCCGTTTTGAAATTTCGGAAATTCCGGAATTTCGTTTTTCAAATTTCGGAATTTCCGGAATTTCGTTTTTCACATGTCGGAAATTCTGGAATCACGGTTTTCAAATTTCGGAAATTCCGGAATTTCGTTTCTGATAGTTCGGATTCCAACAGGCGAAAGCATGATATATTCATGCGCAGTTGCGTGCGATCGCAGTGTAGCCAGTCGCCGGCGGATGGGGGATGCAGGGGAAACCTCGGTGGCGGAGGAGGCAGATAATGAAAGGGCGTCAAAGAGACCAGCCGGCGCCTTAGACAGCAGAGTGGCGAAGTAACGAAATTATATGTAGGGGAATTGCGGGGCGCGCCAAACATGTTTCGCGTTGTGTTTTTTACATGGCAGCGCAGCCCAGCGCATCTGTTACGATGACTGTTTCGTGGGCGGGGGGTGGAGATTGAGCGTTGAAACAGAGGCCGCCCTGCATCGCAGTTTTGGCACGGCGGCAGATTGAAATCGCCGCGGGTACCGTTTTGACTTCCAGGGCCCTATTCGGCGGACGTTTGAGCAACGTGCAGAATCCGATGTTTCCCCACGCCCTGCCCCCAATGCCTGCCCAGCCCATTCGCGCCCGCATGCTGCGGGGCCACTTTGCCGCAACATCGCAATTCGAATGTTCTTTTGCGCCTAGCTAGGCCGGCCCGAGGAGACGCCGATGCGACCGTTCGCGCTTGCCCGTGGAACGTCGCCGAAACAGCCCGACCACTGACGCGTGATATTCCGCGCGTTGCGCCCCTTGGGCCAGTGGCCGACCGAGTGAAACTTTCTTTCGTGGATCATGCAAGTCGGGGAGGGGGCGCGCGTGAGGTCTCTGCTTGTTGCCGGGCTGCAAAGTAGAAGGGCGCATGTTGATGCGCGTGATTATTAACTTTACGCGGCCATGCATTCTTGTGCTCGGCGTCATGTCCAGTCCGCGTTTTCCATTCAGCGCGTTCAAACGAATCCGACGATGAGGGGAGGACTCCCAGCGTCCGTTTCGCCCCCCGTGACAGAGTCGCGCGGCCCAGGCTTGCCGCGCGCGCCCATGCGCGTGGCGTGGCCAGGGGGGTCAAATAGGAAGTAATGCTTCCTTCGGAAAGCGATGGGGCAATTATGCGGGGAGCGGTGTAACAGGAAGGATCGGTAGAAGAGGGTCTTCCGCATTTTGACGAGCCGGGGGGGTGGTCATATTCGCAGGCCTTCTGGGGCGCCGAGCGTTTCCCGCGATCCGACGCTGGGCTTGCGCGGAACACCTTCTCAACGCGATGATTGCGTCAATCGTGCCAATGCGTCTGATTCGCGTTTGTGTGGCGCACTAGAGGTCCACGTCTTTTTTGCAATACCATCCGAGGTTTTTCATACCCTTCGCATTCATTCCCACCTCGCCGTGGCCCACTTGGAGCAGCGGTGCCGGCGTTGCTGTGGATTCGACCGCGTGCGTCGCAGATGGCGACGCAGTGAAGTCGCCCATATCATTGTTTCTATGGGCATGCAAGGCGTCCACACCACACCCCTTTACACCACACCCCTTTCCATCTTCTAAACCAACTTCCACCTGGCTGGCGCTGCGCCGCAGTTCGCCCAGGTTGGAAAAATGGGATTGCACTCCAGTCGCTGCGTGGCCTTTTGAGGGTTTTTTTGGAGCCTTTGGGAGGCTTCTTTCAGACATTTTGGAGACCTCTTGGTGTTTTTTTGGAGCCCCCTGGGGGCCTCTTGGGGCCTCTTGGGGCCTCTAGGGGGCGTCTTTGGCCGTATTGGGGCGCTTTGGCGCCATTTCGCCCCTTCGGAGGCCGTCTTAGGGGCCTCTCGCGGCCGCCTTGGGGCCGCTTTGGGGTCCTCTTGGGCCGTCTTTGGGGCCTCTTGGACCGTTTTGGGGGCCTCTTTGGGCCGTCTTGGGCTTATGTTGGGCCGTATTGGGGCCCTCTTGGGGGCTTGTTGGGTTGTTCTGGAGCGATTTGGGAAGCTGCGTGGGCCGCCAAGTCGAGAACGCCAAAAGATTACCAAACCATAGGGACATCAATGATTTTGGTCTCTGGAGGCGCAGTTGTGGGCGCTCTTGGGGCCCTCTTGGGCTGTCATTTGGGTTTTTTGGGCCCTCTTGGGGCCATCTTGGACCGTTTCGGGGCCGTCTTGGCCCGCACAGAACCCATCTTGAGCCGTTTTGGCGCCCTCTTGGCCCCCCAAGAGGGCCCAAGAGGTCGAAGTCATTGATTTTCTATAGGTTTTGGTAAGTTCTTGAGCCCCGGGAGGGGGGGGGCCTTTTTGGTCCGCTCCTGTGGCGCAGCTCCCAGGGGGGGGTCAGGGGGAAGACATAATAATGTAGCACAACACAACATGTGGCAATTATGCAACAATTTGATGCATTGGGTGCATTGCGTTATCGCCTCCGCAGAAAACGCTGCCGCTCAACACGTCACTTCCGGACGTGGATTCCTCTCGCTTCGCGGGGTGCACGTCCGGAGCACGTACAGTCACGTCGTCGCGGAGCCTCCTGGGAGCCTCTTGGGGGCCTCCTGGAGGCCTCTTGGGAGCTTCCTTGGGCCTCTTGGGGGTTTCTCTGGGGCCTTTCCCCCCTCCCTCCTTGTCAACCATATTTCCTTCCAGCGCCAGCTCTAATCATGGGCGCCGCTGCGACCAACTTCCACCTGGTTGGCGCTGCGCCGCAGTTCGCCCAGGTTGGAAAAATGGCATTGCACTCCAGTTGCTGTGTGGCCTTTGGGGGGCTTCTTTGGAGCCTTTGGGAGGCTTCTTGAAGACATCTTGGAGGCCTTTTGGGGGGCTTTTTGGTGCCCCTTGGGGGCCTCTTGGGAGCCTCTTGGGGCCTCTTGGGGGCGTCTTTGGTGGTGTTGGGGCGCTTTTGCGCCGTTTCGCTCCTTCGAGAACCGTCTTGGCCGCCTTGGGGCCGTCTTGGGGTCCTCTTGGGCCGTCATAGGGGCCTCTAGGACCGTCTTGGGGGCCTCTTTGGGCCGTCTTGGGGTTCTGTGGGGCCGTTTCGGGGCCCTCTTGGGGACTTCTTGGGTTGTGCTGGAGCGATTTGTGAAGCTGCTTGGGCCGCAAAGGCGAGAACGCTAAAATAGTGTCCGAACCATAGGAACATCAATGGTTTTGGCCTCTGGAGGCGCAGTTGTGGGCGCTCTTGGGGCCGTCATTTGGTTTTTTTTTTGGTCCCTCTTGGAACCATCTCGGACCGTCTCGTGGCCGCTTTGGCCCGCACAGAGCCCATCTTGAACCGTCTTGGCGCACTCTCGGCCCCCCAAGAGGCCCAAGAGGTCGGAGAGAGCGTGATCCACCGCCGCTTTACTGTGGAAAATTGCAAACCTTTTCCTCCGGAGCCCGGGGGTCTCCCCCCCCCTCCCTCCGAAAATCCCCCCCCCCTCCCCCCTCGAAAACCGGGGGGGGTCACTACCGGTTCGAACTCCTCCCCCCCCCCCCTCCGGATCCGGAAAACCGGGGGGGGTCACTACCGGTTGGACCCCCCCCCCCTCGAAAACCGGAGGGGGGTCACTACCGGTTCGACCCCCCCCCCCCCCACGCACCGCCAGCAAACGACTCCCGGTCCCTACCACCGCTCGCATCACATCCCCCACTGTTGTTCCCAGCACCACTGTCCTCACCACCACTGTCCCCACTGGTTCCACCACCGTCCCTATTGTCCCCACCAATGCCCCCACCACTGTCGCACTGTCCCCACTGTTCCCACAACTGTTCCCACCACGGTTCCACTCTCCCCACTGTCTCCACGGACCCAACCACTGCCTATCCCCACTGTCCCCACTGTCCCACTGACTCCTCCGCTGTCCCACTGAGCTGTCCCACTGTTTCCACACCACTGTCCCCACTGTCCCCACCACTGTCCCCACTGTACCTCTGTCCCATTGTCCCACCGCCGTCCTCGCCACCGCCTTTACCAGTGTCCCCACCACCATTGTACCCTCCACTGTCCCAGTGTTTCCACCTCATTCCCACTGTCCCCACACCACTGTCCCCACCACCACCGTTCCCACCACTGTCCACTGTCCCCCCTGTTCCCACCATTGTCCCCACCACTACCGTCCCCACCACTGTCCCACTGTCCCCACCACTGTCCCGCTGTCCCCTCACCACTGTCCCCACCAACACCGTCCCCACCACTGTCCGCACCCCCACTCGGTTTTCGAGGGGGGGGGGGGTTCGAACCGGTAGTGACCCCCCCCCTTTTCATGATGAGCTGGGGGGGGGGGGGGGGGTTCGAACCGGTAGTGACCCCCCCCGGTTTTCCGGAGGGGGGGGGGGGAGGGGTTCGAACCGGTAGTGACCCCCCCCGGTTTTCCGCCAGCAGCGGTAGAACACGCTCTTTCAGAGGTCGAAATCATCGATTTGTTATAAGTTGTGGTAGGTTTCTGAGCCCCCGGAGGGGGGGGGCCACTTTGGTCCGGCGGTGTGGCGCAGCTCCCAGGGGGGGTTAGGGGGGGAACATAATAATGTAAACACAATACAACATGTGGCAAGTATGCAATCATTGGATAAATTGGATACGTTGCAGTAAGGCGTTCGCCCGAAAAACGCTGCCGCCCAGCACGTCACCTCCGGACGTGGATTCTCGGGCTTACGCCGCACCGCCGACGCTTTAGAGGTGTCCTCCTCCTCCTCCTCCTCCTCCTCCTCCTCCTCCTCCTCCTCCTCCTCCTGCTTGCCAGTGGGGGCCTCGTGGGGGCCTTTTGGGGGGTCTGGTGGGCCGCCTGGGTCGAGGGTTGCTGGTTTGACGCTTTTCGGATGGCTGATTTGCCGGTTTTTCGAGACGTTTTTCGGACGTTTTTTGGACGTTTTCGGGACGTTTTGCTGATTTGCTCGTTTGACGTTTTTCGGACGTTTTTTGCCGGTTTGACGTTTTTCGGGAGGCGCGTCTGGAGCGTGCTGGGGGGCCTCTTGGCGACGTCTGGGGCCCTTTTAGCGATCTCTGGGGGCCTCTTGGAAGCTTTTTGCAGACTCTTGGGAGCATCTTTGGGACGGGAGTCCGAAACGTCCGCTCGGGCTCCCCCTTTAGGCCTCCCCTTGGGGCTGTCCTCGGGGCCTCCTCGGCCTTCTTGGAGGCTTCTGGGGCCGTTTTGGGGCCCTGGTGTGCTGTCTTGGAGCCCTCTCGAGGGCCTCTTGGCCCGATCTTGAAGGCCGCTTCGACCTGGGTGGGCCTCGTGAGAAAACAAGAGGCGAGCGTACTAAACATGTAGGTTTTCCGAAGGGAGTGGGACGATTTTTGCTGCTTGAAGGCCTCTTGGAACTCCCCGTGGCGACTTGGAACGTCTTGGGGGCCTTTGGGGCCGTCTGCTGCGTCTGCGCGATCTTTCGGCGACTCCTGCCCCTCTTGGACCTTCCAGGGGCCCTCCTCGGGCCCTCTTGGCCCGTTTTGGGGCCCCCGGGAGGGGTTGGTGGAGGGGGTAGCACCTCACACGCCGATGAACCCCAAGCGGTCGGCAGATAGTCCAGCCCTTCTCGCTTCAGACATCTTCGCCGCTGCCCTGAGGCGGTCCAGCCCATTTTGCTTTGGACATACATCCTCGCGGCTTCGAGACACGCGAGAGGTCCAGCCAGCTTCCCCTACGACATACACGCAACTCATGGCTTATGGATTCCCTGACCTGAGGTGGTCCAGCCAGTTTCGCTTCACACTTCGTCACAACTCTGGGCTCGGAGATGACCTGGCCTGAGGTCGTCCAGCCATACTCGCTTGATACATCCTCATTACTATGGGTTCATCGATGCTCCTGCCCCACTTTATCCAAACCCGTTTCCTCGCTTTCGTGTGTTCGCATATGCCTTGGACCTTGGATGTTTCGTTTCGCTTGAGGTATCCTTGCAACTCTGAGTTCATGTGGTCCAGGTCTTTGTCGCCTTAGACATCGCCAGAATTGCGGGTTCGGAGATACCCAGATTTGAGGTAGTCCAATCCATTTCGCCCGAGATCTCCCCGCAATTCTGGGCTCATAGATGTCCTGCCCATGTTGTCGCCGATGACCCACTTGACAGTGTTGGTCACTTGTCAGATGGGCACTCGGGGAGACTGGAACCCTCCTTGTTGCCAGCGGCAGATCTGTAAACCGGGGCCACCTGTCAAACGGGCAAAGGTGGCTGGGCATCTCATGAAGCGAGCTGTCCGACCTCAGCCGAGGTGGTTTGGGAGGAAATGGTCTCACGCGCCAGTCACCCAAAAGGGTGGCGGATGTTCTTTCTCTTAGATGTTGCGTGGCGCTTTGTCGGAGGGGAGATCCGACGTTGCCCCATCAGCCAGACTACTGCTGCTACTGTACCTCGCCTTGTCTTCGCGATTCAAAAAAAGGTGAGATCACTTCGCCTTCAGGGCCGGCGGATTCGGAAGGCATGGGGTTCGCGTCAATTTCGCTGGAGGGGCCAGTGGTATGCCAGCACCAAGCTCGACCCGGCCGTCCGTTGGCTTTCGCCAGTGGCCCCTGGGAGGCCTGGCCAAATTTTTGGGCCTCGATTCCTGGCCCATCTCACTCTTGGATTCCAGTTTCGGCTCGATCTGGCGTGCGCCATTCGGGTATGCGTCGACCCAAGACGAGGGCCCGAAGGGTGCACCTCTCGCCCTCGGCGAAGGCCAACCGCAAGTAGAAATCGAGGGGCCCGCTGGCAGAAGCTCGGCGGATATCGGCGGAGGTAAAACTTGGGAGACTCCATGAGAGGTCATCGCTGGCTTCCCAAGAGTGTTCGGAGGTTACCGGCTGTCGTCCGTCCGTTTCTCCTGTCGTTCGGTATCGTTTAACCGATCCCCATCCCCAGTCCCATCCCCACTTCCATCTCCATCCAGACCCCCCAGCATCCTTGCACCCCAGTTGGGGACACACACCTCAAAACCCGAAGGGAGCGGCCTATATCCCCATCCAGGGGGTCCATCGGCCATTGGGGCCCAGGCCACGTTCATGGGGATAGAGGTCGGTGAAACGATGCCCAGTCGTTTCCATGGTTCCAGTTGTTGACAAGCCCTGCGCCGAGCTCGGCCGTCCAGCGCACTGACGGGCAGGCTCGGTCCCCTGGCTCTCCTAGGGGGCCACGTGCGAACCCTACCCCTACCCCACACGATTTCTGAGGGGGAGGGTGGGGTTCACGAACGAGGTGAACCCCACCCTCCCCCTCAGAAATCGTGTGGGGTAGGGGTAGGGTTCGCATGTGGCCCCCGACCGGTCTCCCTCACCGCGCATGTGGTCTCTCAAGATGGCATAATTAGTGCACGCAGGCTTGCACGTCATGGTCGTCATGTCTGTAATGCAGCATGGTGCGCGGTTATGGAAGTTTGACCTGAATCACTGGGTAGCACAGTAGTGCAGCGTTGATGTGATGATTTCTTCTGATGCGGAGGAGGAGGCAGAGTAGAAGTAGGAGCTCAGACGGAAAGGAAGCCGAAGATATCCGATGATGAGGAGGAGGAACAATTCCGATGAGGAGAAGGAGGAGGAGGAGGAGGAGGAGGACGAGGAGGAGGGGGACGAGGAGGGGGAGGGGAGGAGGAGGAGGAGGAGGAGGAGGAGATGGAGGAGGAGGAAGAGGAGGAGGGGGAGGGGGAGGAGGAGGAGGAGGAGGGGGAGGAGGAGGAGGAGGAGGAGGAGGAGGAGGGGAAGAAGGAGGACGAGGAGGAGGAGGAGGAGAAGAAGGAGGAGGAGGAGGAGCCCCGGGGAGGAGGAGGAGGAGGAGGAGGAAGACGAGGAAAACAAGTTCCTGCTGTCAGAAGCATTGTCAAATATTGCCATGAGAGCCACATGCGAAATCCCTCGCGCGCGCATTTCAGAATAGTTTGTTCTTATAGATACATGAATAGTTAAAATGTCAATGCCAATGCCGACTTTTGCCGCAACTCTCAAACCAAAGCGGCTTCTCACCACACAGATGGCAGAGTTCTGCGCACGCACTCACTGGAACCATGAGAGACCATAAGCGCCACTTTCAAGCCGGCGGCGCAGAGGGTCCTCAAGCGCGGTCAGCAGATTGATGTGCCAATTGCGATCGAGCATCGTCGAAGGCACATTGCACGAGACGTCGCACACTGTAAAGTGCAAACGAGGAATCCCAACCATGAGTCAGGAGGGGAAAAAACACACAGACACAATTGATCGTCGATTCCCAAGAAAAGATGGGAACATATAGGAATTTGGGGGGAAGACAAAAACACAGAGCATATGGGGAAATATGGGACATCTTTTTATTTGCGTGTATTTATTTGTGTGTCCCAGGGCCCCTTCAATGACGGCCACACGCGTGCGCACGTCGAAAGCAGCAGAGAGCCATCGCGGACCCGCCCGCGGCTGGCTGGGCCAGCGGTGGGCCTGCTCCATCGATGACGCCGAGCGCCAGCGGCTTCGCACGCCGAGCCGCCGTGCGGAGGCTCCTCGCCTTGAACGGGCTCGCCGCGGTCTCCCTCAGCTTGTCGGGGTGCGGCTGCCCAGAGTACGACTGCTGCGCCGAGAACGGCGGCTCGGGCCACTGCGACGCGTCGTCGAGAGACTGCTGCACGACCTGCGCAGCGGACAACCGCGTGGACACCGGGGGGGACTGCGTGGCCTGCGAACGGGGGACCTACAGTGTCATCGGTGCCGTGAGGGATGATGGGGAGAGCGCGTGCTCAGCGTGTGCGGACCTGACGACTGAGACAGTTTGCTCAGGAATGACCGGGTGTTCATTCGATGCATCGGGTACGCCCTCCTGCAAGGAGAAGACCTGCGCAGATGCTGACAGCTACAGCTTATGCGAAAATAAGCTGAGTTCGACTTGCCAGTGGGACCATACAGCAGCAGTGTGCAAGGCTGCATCATAAGCATCCATACGCTCCACTGCGACGCATCTGCTTCATTGTTGCTGCAAGTTGCAGGTGGGGGTAGGCCAGGTAAAACGGCTGTACGGAAAACTTGCGGGTGGTGGATTGCCAAGGTGCGCAGCGAGATCTGATTATACCAAGTCGCCCACCGCGTCTGGCGCAGGATTTGTGTTATGCATAGGAATGTCGGATGACCAAAGTGAGCTCACGCGAGCTAGTGGAAATTGTAACCCAGCTGGCATTTCCACATTCTGTCACCGGTAAGATTGTTTGAGATTTCAAGGCAGCGCAGACGGGGCTTAGGTGTTGAAATCATGACAGCGATATCTGCACACGACTCTCCCAATTTGGCGAAACGGGTGACGGTTCCACCACACAGGTAGATGGATGTTTGCTTGGTTCCAACAGCACGTACATTTGGTTCCACGAGTATCTGCCTCAACAGCATGGTGCCGCAGATGTTTCTGGCAATGACCGAAAAACATCATCATCAGCACCGTCGCTATCATCATCGCCAGCGCCACCATCCCCACCTGCGTCATCAACATCATCGTCGTCATCAGATGTGTCGTCGCCCTCGGCACCATCGTTATCATTATTTCTAGCGTCAGTATTGCCACTATCATTACGAACCTCTTCGTCACCACCCCTATCGCCGTCGCCATCAGCCCAGCGTCGTCGTCATTGTCGTTCTCGTCGTCATCGTCATCAACGCTACCGTCGTCAGCCCGCCCGGGTCATGGATCTGTATGGAAAGGACCCTCGCGTCATTAGGCCAGGTGAATTTCGCGAACAAGGTACGGGTGGGATGTGTTCGCGAGAGTGGGAGATGACGGCGAGCATTGGAGTTGACGATTTAAAGCATTGGAGTTGACGCTTGACGGTGCGATGGGGACGAGTTGTATCTACAAATGAGAGGGGGCCGCAGGATGGAGGAATTCACGAAGGAGTATGGGAGGACGAGAAGGAGTGAGGGGGCGGAAAAGGGGCGGTGGAGAGGAGGAGAGGACGAAGGGGCCGAGGAGATGATGGAGGAGGTGGAGGAGTGAGCGAAGGGGGGGGGCGAGGGGGAGCGGGCGGACAAGGGGGGAAGGAGGCTACTGCGAGGGCGCCTCGGCGGGGCCGCCCACGGCCGGAAAGCAACGAGGCCATCGACAGGCTCCCGCTCCAGGGCCTGAGTCCTTTGACCATGCATCCGACGCCGGAGCCACTGCCCCCGCCTCTCGCCGGCACGCGCCCAGCGCTGCGATCTGGCCTTCGCCCGCCCGGCGTGGACCCAAGCGAGAGGCGCCGGAGGGCGTGGTCCAGGAAGCGCCTCGCCGTCGGCGAGCCGCGCTCTCGGCGGAGAGCCAGCGGAGGCAAGCAGCGCGGAGGCAAGCAGCGCTGGCGGCAGGCGGCGGGAGTCAGAGGGAGACGTCTGCACGTGCTGGGGCTCGGGGTTCACTGAGTTCGAAGAAGGAAGAAAGCAAAAACAAAAAAAACAAAAAACAAAAACGCCGTGCACATAAGCGTGTTGCGCTCCGAGCGGATCTCTTGAGTCGGCGACACGTGGGCGATGCATCGGACCATCCGAGGTCGATGCATCCCGCCTTCTGCCCTGCCCCCCCCCATCATTCGGGGCGTGCCTAAAGGTGCCCCTGGCCCAAGGCCCCCCCCCCAGCTTTCTGCTCCATTCCAGTCATCAGGGGTGGCTCTCTTGCGAGGGTTCTTGGCGCGCTCCGCGCGCCAGGGAGAGGGGTCCAGCGCGGATCCAAGAAACCCGCGCGGAGCGCCGAAAGTTCATGTTTATGGCGCTGGTTCTTCTTCTAGGCTCCGGGTTCCTTGCGTGGGGCCGCTCATCAGGAAACCGGATGCGTTTCGTCAGGGCCCCCTGGGTTTCTTCGCTTCGCCCGCTGCTCTGTGTCCACCCGCGTCCGTGGAAGAGCCTGCTGCGTCCAGAGGATTCTGGGCTTCCCCCCAATCGCACCTCGCGCGCGGGTCATCAGGGGCGGGTCTGTTGCGACGGTTCTTGGCGCGCTCCGCGCGTCAGGGAGAGGGGTCCAGTGCGGATCCAAGAAACCCGCGCGAAGCGCCAATAGTTAATGTTTATGGCGTTTTCTTCTTTTTCTAGAAACAGAGGGGGCCCAGGGGCACCCAAACAGGTAGGCACAACTCCCTGCAAGGGCCCCCCCTGCATTGCCATATCTTTTTGGTGTTCGTCTTCCCCTCGGCTGCACATCCTGTACCCACGTGTTCCTCGAGGTCGTTTGTCTTTGCGCGTCTGTGCTCAAGTCGGGCCTGTCCCTCCACAGGAGGGATCTTCAAACATGGTCCAAACATAGTCTTGGGACGATTTTTCAGCATGCCTGATCATTTTGTGGGTATGTGTTCAGTTCATTTTTTCGCTCGAAGTCCGCCTGTAGGGGGACATGTCCGACCTAAGTCTGTGCCTCTCGTTCCCCTGCTGACGAGAATCGGGGGAGCGTAAGACCCGGGTTTGCCGGGACTCGGGTTCGCCATCGTTTTTTGACGACCGCGCTTCGGATTTTGACGAGGAGGAGTCTCGTGGGATGTCTGCAGCGGGAGGCCTCGTCAAAACGCAGGCTCGGCCTCGTCACTTTTTTGACGACCTCGTCGGGGATTTCCGAGTCCCCTGTACCCAGGTCTTACGTCCCCCTGCTGACGAGAAGAAAAGGGGGCAGCTCGGGTGCGGAAAGGGGCCCGCTGTTTTCTTTGGGGCTCTCCGTGGCTGCTCCGCTGGGCGCTCCGCTGGCGCACCCCCCGGCGATCTCGGAGCCACGGAGGGGCTGCGCCTCTGGCGGAAGTCGGGCGTGTCCCTCTACGGGGGGGAAATTTAGAAATAGTCGGGGGACGATTGAATGTGTTGAATCGTCGGGGGACGATAGGTGGGAAATTTAGAGATAGTCCATTGTTTTTTGTATGCTTGAATATGTGTTGAATGTGCTACTACGTTCGCACAACATCCGCCTGTAGGAGGACATGCCCGACCCAAACGAAGCGTGCTGCGCTCCTGGCGTACCGTTCCTTCTTGTAGCACGCTGACTGCACAGTGCGGTGGTTCCAGGTTGCTCCACTGCTGGAGCTACTCATTGAGCCTCGTAGCCAGCCTGGGGGATATGAGAGGGGGGGGAAGGAGGGAGGAGGAGGAGGAGGAGCAGGAGGAGGAGGAGGAGGGGAGGAGGAAAAGGAGGAAGATGGAGGAGGAGGGAGGAGGAGGAGGAGGGAGGAGGAAGAGGGAGGAGAAAGATAGGAGGAGGAGGAGAAGGAGGAGGAGGAGGAGGAGGAGGAGGAGGAGGAGGAGGAGGAGGAGGAGGAGGAGGAGGAGGAGGAGGTTGAGGAGGGACGATAAGGAGGATCGGAGGAGGAGAAGGGATACCGATCCCCGACAGGCCCACTCTGGGCTGCGGGATCTATGTGTAAACCCTGGCCTGGCCAGCTCGCTCAGGGATGCACTTGCACCCGATCTTCGGCCAAGGATCGGCCCAGCCAGGGTCGGTGAGGCGGATGTTTGACGACCGTCGAGCGGGGAGGGGGAGGAGGAGGAGGAGGAGGAGGAGGAGGAGGAGGAGGAGGAGGAGGAGGAGGAGGAGGAGGAGGAAGAGGAGGCGGAGGAGGAGGAGGAGGAGGAGAGAGGAGGAGGAAGGGGGAGGAGTAGGAGGAGGAGGACGAGGACGAGGACGAGGACGAGAGGGAGGGGGAGGGGGCGGGTCGGGTGCCCTCTGCCCACTCGGCGCCGGGCCCCGGGTGGCCGCGCGCCCGCTCTCGCCCGCGGCCCGACTGCGAGGGCGGCGGCGGCGCGGCCGACGCTACGGCGGTGTGGTTCGGCGCGGAGGATCGTGGCCTCCCCCCTTCACCCACGCACTCACTCACCCACTCAGTCACTCACTCACTCACTCGCCTCCTCCTCCTCCTCCTCCTCGTCCTTCCCACTCACTCACTCGCTCGCTCACTCACTCACTCACTCACTCACTCACTCACTCCCTCACTCACTCACTCACTCACTCACTCACTCACCTCCTTCTCCTCCTGCTCCTCCTCCTTCTCACTCACTCACTCGCTCGCTCGCTCGCTCGCTCACTCACTCCTCCGGCTCTCCTCCTCCTCCTCCTCCTCCTCCGGCCTGCACTGACATGACTGAGCTTCGCAGTGCGGCTTTTTCGGTTCAGGTTCCCCCTCCAGGATTTCGTCACCCTGGAACGGAGGAAGTACCTGTGGTCCCAGAGCCCGTCGACTTACCCTTCGTCTGTGGATTGGGAAATGAGGGTGCACCATGTGGTTGCGCCCAGGCTATTCGTAGGAGTCTACTTGAACACGTTCGACATCAGCACCACCTTTGGAGTGCCATGCAGATACGAACCCCGACCAACCTCTGCATCCACTGCCAGAAAAGTACCCCCTTAGAATTTACTGCTGCCAAGCATTTGGTGAGTTCTCTGATTCGGGGTCATTGTATGACGTGCGGCCCGCACTCGCTGGCCACACGATCGCAGTCTCTCCGTCCTGGCTCAAGGGTCTGACGGTGGCTGCCGCCGCCGGCGCGAGCGGCGAGGAGCCCAAGGGCAAGAAGTCCAAGAACAAGGGCTTGGCATCGCTCGGACGTGTGCATTTTTCCATCGGCGAGGACCATCGAGGAGCATCCTTGATCATTTGGCGAAAAAGCCACGCACGAAACCGAAAACAGCACAGAGATAGGACGTCCGAGCGATGGCCAGAGGGCGACAAGGGCGGCGGCAGCGAAGTGATGAACACGATGGCCGGCCTTGTGCTCACCAACGCGAGGGAGATAGCGGAGTTCAGCGCTTCCGTGTACAATCGTTACGTTGTTGAGGGATGGCAAGGGCTCGTGGCCACGGCCGCGGCCGCGGGTCAGACATAGAACGAGGAGTCCAAGCAGTTCCGCACCAAGAAGGACAAGGGGGAGACCGTCAACCACCGCGAGCGTGGCCCGCCACATCTCTCCATCGTGATCTCGGTGGCCCGCTACGGCGCGACGAAGACCATTCCCGAGTGCGACGATTACAAGGAGCTGACGATCCTGAAGCAGAGCATGCACGATCTGCGGCAATTGCAGCTGAACAGCGTGACGCAGGCCGAGCTAAATCGGGTCGCCAGCGTCTTACGCGTGCGCTCGCAGGAAAAGAAGAAGGAGGGCGAGAGCCAGAAGGCGACGGCCATCTAGAAGTACGACAGCGCAGTTCCTCTCGGCGCTGCTCTGGTCCGATGCTCGAGAAGTTGATCTATTCGGAGGGCGGGATTCAGCTCTTTGGCACGGCACCGAGGGGCCCGGTGGAGCGGGACTTGTTGAGGTTCGTGGAGCAGGAGGCGTGAGCAGTAGCAGTAGTAGGCAGCGGCAGCAGCAGTTGCAAACGAGTGAGAGACAAGCAGCATTAATCAACACAAGCGTCGTTCCAGCGAGCGCGCTCTTTTCCTTCCTTTAAAAAGATTTTTTAAAAGAAACAAATCTCGGCAGGCGAGCTTG